CTATGTTAGTCAGTCATGGACTGTGTGGCCTTGTGGATCTGGCATCATGTACCAGGGGTTTTTTTTTTAGGGAACAGATGAGAGGCTTCCATGACTTGCTGAGACAAAACCCCCCTCTCTGTTCATATTGTCAGGGTGGAGTTCAATCTCAATGGCTTCCCTAATGATGCGATCAATATATCAGGTCTTTGTGGCGAGGATGGAGGTATTCTGAAGCTGAATGCGGTGTTCCAAATAGATGTTGTGTTCAGCTACAGCTGACTTGTCTGGATGTTTGAGACAGATGTGCCGCTGATGCTCCTTCAAACTCATGTCCACAGGGCAGACGGACCCCCAGCTTAAGGGTTAATGCCCTCCCATTAACCTTGCCTTTCTCCCTTTACACAATATCCTATACCTGCTCTAACCTTGCTCCTGTCGCAGACCTTTCTCTTCTCCCTCTCCATTGATTTCCCATGTAGACTTGTCCCCTTCCTTCCCTGCTCTCATATAGCTGAGTTTATTTCCAACATTAGTCTGCTTGCACCTGTTCTCACTGTCTCTTCGCTTGCAGATTTTCTTATTTTTCCTTCTACCCTGAAGATAGAGGCGATACGTTCCTCCGAAACGTTGGTTAACACCACATCTACACGGTGCCACATCCCAGAAGACTGCTTTCCTCATAGTATTAAATAGATTATTTTATCAAACAACAAACTTAGTTCCTGAATTTACAATTAAAAGTAAAAATACACAGCGCTGTTTAAATAAACTAATGAGTAAATACAGAATAATGCAAATAACACACACCTTGAATAATACAGGCACAATTCAAAAAACTAAATTTTTACACAGATGGCTGTTTGAAGTTTTATACTGCATAGAGAAACATGTATATGGTAGCTAAGAAAGTAGCACAGAACTTGCACAGAAGCTACAGACATTGCATTATTATACAATGCTAACTATTGCCGGGGTCAAGAAATGTGGATCTATACATTCAATCCCCCCGTATGTGTTCATGGCACAGTACTTAATTAGTTACGCACATGAACAACTTCATCTTACTGGTACGGTCTTTTGTCCCATGCACTCAGACCATTGCTGGGTCCACTGTGCAGCATCAACATTGCCATGGCCCTTTGAAGAGCTCTGACCATAAATCTAGAGCCAGAACTATTTTCATCGCGGCCCTTATGTTATCTATCGACTGTAATCATACAAAGCCAAAGAACTTCATTCTATGCCAAGCTGGAGCAGGCAGTGACTAATAAGGGACATGGTATGAGGATTCCTCCTCCTTTCCACATTTTTTCATGCAACGCTTTGAAAGATGCCCATAACATGGAGGTTCCAGCTCAATGTACAGTCTCATGTCAACCATCCTGTTACCAGTCTACAACATTTCCTGTCCAAGGCCAATAGGTCCCTACAGTTTAGTCAAAAATTTTGAATGAAGAGCTTCAACTGCCTCATACCTGGTGTGGCACCCCCTGTTCAGGGTGCTTCTCCCTCTGCCAATCCTTAATCTTGAGCCTACCAACATATGGTCAGATTTCAACATGTTAAAGCAAATCTGGCTTCCAAATTGAGCAGCAAAACAATTTATTATGAGTTCTGACTCTATTATTCTGGGTGTGTTGGTGGTTGGTTCATTCCTAATGTCACACTCTGGCAATTAAGTCATTTATGCTTTTAACCTGAACTGACTGACATACCTGTAACTCACTTTCTATTTGCTCACAACTTGGACGCGTTACATTATCCAGTTCGACATTATTCTACAAATGTGACTTCATCCTGTTTCTGGCCTACATAAACTGGACTGTTAGCAATGTGTTACAGTTTGGGTACTCACCATGGTCTGTGAAGTGTCTTTCATAATCAGCCTCACTCCACTGGGTCTCATGATTAGCTGTGCTATCCTGAACTCCTGACGACTTCGAGCTCATGGAGCGCACCAGCAATGATGAACATCTTAGGGACAATTCCAGGGCATCCATCCAGCACTTCCCTGCAGCCTGGGAAGGTGCTCTGAAGATCAAGTACGCGGTTGGTAGTGGCTGAACTACTGCCCCTGTAAGTAATGAAACCTAACGTTTCACTTTGTTTAATTAAACAAATTACAAAAACAAAAGCTTGAAAGTGTTTGATGCACAAATTGAGTTAACGTATTGATGCCAGGTGGAGTTGGGATAGCTCATTCAGGATAGTGACAAGCTACGGGCTGGATAGCTGGGGTTCGATTCCCAGCAGAAGCAATATTTTTCTCTTGTTCTCAGTGCCCAGACCAGCTCTGGGGCCTACCCAGCCTCTTATCTAATGGGTACCAGAGGCGCTTTACCCATGGGTAAAGCAGCACGGGCATAAAGCTGACAAATCATCTACATCTAATGCCATGGTCAAGAATGGTGGAGATATACCTCCACTCCCCCATAAGTGTCTATGGCATAGTGCTTAATTAATTAAGCACAGGGCCAACTTTACTGATGCCAGGAATCAACACTATGACATACATACAGATGATGAAATTCAAAATCTGTAAATAGGGTTAGAAACGAAAAGTTTGGACATGTAAGAAGAATGAATAGGTGGGTACTGAGAAGAGTGTTGACACCAAAATGTAAAAGAAAGAGACCTAAAATAGTGAGATTGGGCAAGTTCTGGAAGACAAAAAAAAAAAAAAAAACTGGAGAACGCTGGCATGAAATCAAAAAGGAAAGACCATGGAAAGTAGAAAGTATCAGAGACTTCTCATCCACTGACGTGTATACAAGGTGGTTCAAATATGACTGGGACTGATTTTTTAAACCAAAATTGCCAATCACTTGTCAGTCAGACACGTCAGTCTTCAATGTACTCCCCTCCGGAGTCGACACATTTTTTTCCAACGTTCTGGAAGCATCCTGATGCCCTTTTCAAAAAAGTTTTGTGGTTGGCGGCGTATCCACTCCCAAACATTCTGGATGACAGCGTCATTGTCCACAAACCGCATGCCTTGCAAGCCTGATTTGAGCCTTCCGAAAAGGAAGAAATCACTTGGTGCCAAATCGGGACTGTACGACGGATGTGTGAGAAGGTTCCATTTTAATTTCCGGAGGGTTTCCATTGTTGTTTTGGTCGTATGGGGGCGTGCATTGTCTTGAAGGAAGGCTACCCACTTTCCACATGTCTTCCGCTTGGATCGGATCTTTTCCTTTATGTCTGTTGCCAGGAGGTCTGAGTAATAAGCTGCATTGACTGTTCTGGCATCTGTCAGAAAGTCTACATGGATAACCCCATGCCAGTCCCAGAAGAACGTTGCCATCACTTTTCCTGCCGAACAGCTCCTCCGCGCTCTCTTGGGTTTGGGAGAACTGATATGCCGCCACTCGCGTGATGATTGCTGGGACTCAGGAATGAAGTACTGCACCCATGTTTCATTGGTGGTCACTATACACTTCAAAAATGTATCACCTTCATCTTCAAACTGCTGCAGGAGACGACTGGCAACTTGCATGCACACCATTTTGTTCACGTCCGTCAAATTGCATGGTACCCACCGTGCATTCACCTTGCGATAGTGCAGGTGGTATTTCATGATGTCTTCTACACTACTAACACTGATGGACAGCATTGCTCCAAGTTCCTTGATAGTGATGTGCCTATTCTCATGAATAAGTGTGTCTGCACGATCAGTGTTTGGCTTGGTGACAGATGTTCGTGGCCGACGATCATGCGGTTCATTCTCCATGCGCTCTCTGCCCTCTCTGAAGCACTTACACCACTCAAACACACAGGTCCATGAGAGACACTCTTCCCCATACTGTTGTTGGAGTCTGTGGTGAATTTCAGCGGACGGGACATTTTCTCCGAGGAATTTGATCACAATGCGTTGTTTGACGCTCCGCGGTACCTTCTTTTCACTCATCATTCTAGAAACTTCCAGACAGGACTGAACAGGTTCTAACCCTAACAGGAGGGAGGGTGGAGGTTGTGGCTTCACTCTCGCAAGGTTGCACAGCTGCTGTGCAGTGCAGCTTGTTTACAAAAAATCAGTCCCGGTCATATTTGAACCACCTAGTACAATGGAAATGATGCTAGAAGAATATGATACACATAACCATGTTCCACTGACCAGAACTGTTGACATTACATACTAATGCAATTTATTTTGTATGAAATCAGCATGGTGACCATTAGCTGTGTTCTAGGTATCATGGAAATACTTTCATTACTCTCTTCACCCACAGAGGGTGTTTCAGTAACAGCCATTTAATTCTAAATTTGCTTTCCTAAGATGCCATTCCACTTTTCACAAAATGGCGGGGTTGTAAAGAGTGTGCAAGCTTTGCAGGTCTGAGTCTTAGTATATCAATAACTTATATTTGAACAATGGGCTGGCCTTGCATCATTTCCACACTCTGAGTTTCTTTCATACACAAGCATAAATATACAGTCTCAAATTTGGATCACTTCTGTATTCAAAGAATGAACTACATAGGAACCTCTCCTAATAAGTAATCTCAATGCGAGAGGTGACAGCAAGAATGGGAGAAAGGTAAAAGTAAAGCTGTCCCAGTGTTTAACCATGCACCATGCCATGCTATTAAACATATAATTTGTATACATGGATTGTCAGCCATTTTCTTGTGTGAAAATCATATGAACAGTGTGACTTTCATGATTTTCTGATCATTCTATATCCGCATTTTACAGTCCAGCATGCTTTTATCAAAATCATTTCATACTACAATTCAGTATACAGTTCTTGCTTTCCCCACCTTTGTTCAATGAATTTTACACTACTAAGGACTGAGTTTTTGTAATTTATGTCCTGCCCTCATGTCTTTTACAAGCAAGGCACTTCTTTTTTTCATTTTGTTTTCAAATATTCTGTGTGTTCATTCTTTTCCCAAACTTCACATTTAAATGTAACACTTAAAATGATTACATGCAAAAATGTTACTTTTACAAAAGAGCCACATTGAAAGCTGTGAAAGTACTGTTTGTGTGGTTACTCGTATTCATAGTCACCTTACTCAGTAAAGCTGTAGGCCCATGCACCTCTTGGTGGCTGCTCCCAGACACCAGTCCACAGTCATGAGTCCATACAATCAAAATACTAAAGATCACTTAAAAAAATTGAAAAGATTTAAATTGGAATTGTATGCTGAGAACAGTGACCTGGTTATCTGGTATCCATGTATCCAGAACTTTCACACAACTGGCAACAATTTCAAAGAAAATTGCTGGAAGTTCCTTCATAAACAGAACTGTAATGTGAATACATTCCCCCACCACTGGCAGTGCTGCACACAGTCCTCTGTCATACAGGTTCCATTACAGTTTGGTTAGCTGAATTTGTGATCACATAAATGTACATCTAATCCACTACATCTCCTATGAAGACTTCCAAGCAATGTCTAAAATGAGAACATGTTGTTTTGACTTTGAAACAGAAAATGGAAATATTAAAAGACTGGAGAAGGATGAAAATTGGGTATAGTAAGAGTTCACCGCATGCAACCAACACATCCCACTCCCCATACATTCCAGATGTGTGAGTTCACTATATTTCATTTCTTAAAATGACACAGATACTTTCTAAACTGGGGCATGCAGTAGCATAGTTGGTTGAGGCACGATGCTACAAGCCAGAAGGTCACGGGTTCAAGTCCCAATGAGGTGGACATTTTCAATTTACCTAATCCTACCAGCGGCACTATGGCCCTGCGGTCAACTCAGCCTCTAACAGAAATGAGTACCAGGAGTCTTCATGGGGGGTAAAGGGCAGCTGGCACAAAAGGCTGACAACCTTACTGCCATCTGTGAGCCAACTGTCTAGAGAAAATGTGGGAGCCTCGATGTCTCACAACCTTGTGGACCTTCATGGCCTGTTACAGGGATAGTTTTACCTTTTCTTTTACCTTTACTTTCTAAACCATCAATTATTGTTATATTTTTTAAATATGATACTAGCTCTACCTCTAGCCGCACTAGGCCCTGGGGTTTACTCAGCCTCTAACAGAAATGAGTACCAGGAATTAAATAATTTTCCTGGGGAGTAAAGCGCGGCCGGCGCGTAAGGCTGACAACCTTACCGCCATCTTTGAGCCGATGGTCTAGATAATGTGGGACCCTCAACGTCTCACAACCCCATGGGCATTCACGGCCTGGTACAGGGCTAGTTTTCCTTTTTTTTTTTTTACTAGCTCTACCTAGAGGCCCTACAGAATAGGAATTTCTTCATCCTCCCCAGCTGAAAATGGAAACAGAACCCAATCCCAAAACATTTTGATTTTCATATAAATACTAGGACAATGGGAAAGCTTGAACAGCCCTGATGTTGGATCTGTCTTATCCAGACACTGTAACCAATAAAGACAGTTTTTCACATATGCAAATAAGTTTCACCTATTGTCTCTTTTTCTGGTCCTCTTGGTGCCCATATAGATTGCTCCAAGGGATGAAAAAGCTTAAAACAGAAGCCATCTTTTTTTGATGGCCTTTCAATGACTTGGCAAGTATTCAGAAGAACTGTTCCAACCCAGTGGTTACTCTGAAAGAGATTAATATACAAAAAGTTACAAAACACAAGAACAGAAGAATATCAGGGAAATGTACGCATCAGGTATTTCACGTCCAGCACTCCATGACAGGCTTCATTAACCCAGTCATCAGCACAAGGAAAAAAATGGAGGGTTGATGTTTCATTATTTGTGTAACAGGCTTAGATCAGAATAACAGAAGCACGCAGTAGTGTAGTTGGTTGAGACGCTATACTACAAGCTGGAAGATCACAGGTTTGATTCCTGATGAGGTCACTGGATTTTTCAATTGACCTAATCCTCCCAGACGCACCATGGCCCTGAGGTCAACACATCCTCTAACAGAAACGAGTACCAAGAATCTTCCTGGGGGTAAAGGGTGGCTGGCGCATAAGGCTGACCTCACCGCCATCTGTGAGCCGATTGTCTATAAAATGTGGGAGTCTTGACATCCCACAACCCTATGGACCTCCTTGGCCTGTTACAGGGATGGCTTCAGAACAGCATAATAGGATATTTTTTTGTAGTTTCATCATCATGCTCCACGGAGCCTGCTGATAAGTAAATAATTACATATGTTATCAAAGATTTCATATAAACGCTTCTCATGACTGATATCTGATAACCAGCAGACTCTGCCTTTTCAAACTGTGTTGTTTTCTGTTATAGAAATTAGAAAGATTTAGTAGAATCATCTGTTTTCATGTGCTCCCAAAATGCATTACAGATTGTATGAAGTGGTAAATTACAGTCTCCTGGGATGTGACACAATGCAGTCTGGAAGGTGTCAAAGTACTGATGGATCTACTGCCTCCATGTTTCTTTGGTGTGGCACAGCATTTCATCTGTCCAATTCACATGGCTGCGTGGTCATGCTACAGATCACGTGACCAGTCAGAATGACAGAAAACACTGTTTAATTCCAGTGACTATGATATCTTCCCGTTCATTCTGACCGCACACTCACATAACATGTCACACCTGATACTATCCCTTTCAAACTATGGAAACATAATTTTTCAATGGTGTCATCTTACTTGCATACGAATGAAATGTGTGAGATACATAGGGAACTGGAATTTCCACAGCAGTAATGATATATACTGTGGTCTTATGGTTATGACACTGTAAAAACTTGGTTCTACTCTGAAAATGGTGACACCACACTTCTCCAAAATCTGTTAACCCCCTATCACACTATGCACTGTCTGGGAGATGCTTACCGATGTTTTGGAAGTGTACATTGCCTCTATCTTCATGGTAAAGTAGTGTCAACTTCTGCAGATAGTGGGTGTTGCGTGGTCAGTGTAACGAATCCCCATGTCCCTTAATTTCCGTTTTCTAGACCAGAGCAGCTATTTCCATTCAAATAGATCCTCAATTATCCTCACAAGGCTGAGTGGACCCCATTCCAGGCCCACTACTTCTCAGAAAATCTGGTAGCCCGGGAATCGAACCCGGGACCTCTGGATCTGTAGCCAGGAACTCTGACCACCAGACCACAGATGTGGTCGGTATAGTCTGCTTGTGGACTAAATCCATGGAGTTTTTTATTTAGAGTTTATTTAATAACATCACTCACTCAGATGACAGTGTCAAATGGTAGGACGATAATGAACTGGAAAAAATGCAGAAGGGAGAATTCATGGGCTCATTTGAGATATCAGCTTGGCATTCTCCTGTAGGTACAAAGGAGAACCAGGGAAAATCAAGAACCTCCAAAATACAAGAAAGAAGTGCTATTACATCAACAGACTTTCTCTGTCTACACAGTGCTATTAACCCAGACAACTAACAAACCATACAGATACTGAAGAAAGCAGTCTTCTGGGATTTGGCACCGTGTATATGTGGTGTTAACCGGCGTTTCAGAGGAACGTATTGCCTCCATCTTCAGAGTCTGCTTTTACTGGTTCTCACGGTCTCTTCGCTTGTGGATTTCTTATATTTTTCCTTCTACCCTGAAGATGGAGGCAATATGTTCCTCCGAAACGTCAGTTAACACCACATATACATGGTGCCAAATCCCAGAAGACTGCTTTCTTCATAGTCACTGCCGTGAAAGCCTCAGATCTTACATACAGATACTTTTTTATTTTAAAATAACAAACTTCAGTGCACAAATTACATGACCACATGAATTAAGAAATGAATTACAGTAATAAAAGTGAACAACTACATGCACACAAAATAGAAAACAGGTCCATATAAGAACAGAATATTTCTTGTCCATACTAATTTCTCCTGTAAGGTTCATATATACAAAAGCCATAGTCTTGGCATTGTCATTATTCCCACGCTTCAGTCGGCAATGCACTCTCAACCTTTGCCAAAAACAAATTTCCATTCTTGATGGTGTGCACATGCAATGAAATTATGATTTAATATACGTGGGGCAATCCAAAAGTTTCTGAAATTTGAATTTTGCGCGCGAATGGATATGAGTACATCAAAATACCGCTAGTTGTCTCCTCATACATCCTTTTTGAATCAGTGTGGCAAGTGGCGTCGAGTTGAGTGGTTGGGTTTATTGTTGGTGAACGTATTTCCATTGTTGTGTTTCCGTGAGTTTGCGGTTTTGCAGTGGCTGACATGAGAGAGCAGCATGTCTGTATAAATTTTTGTTTCAAACTTGAGAAAACCACTGCAGAAACGCACCAAATGTTGAAGCAAGATTTTTGTGAAAACAGTTTAGGCCAGACACAAACTTACAACTGGTATAAGCGTTTTAAAAATGGCCAAATATTGACTGATGATGACGATTGCTCGGGACGGCCGTCAACGGGCAAAACACCAGAAAATGTCGCGAAAGTCAGGGATCTGATTCTGCAAGATCGGAGACTGACCATCCAAGACCTCTGTTAACACCTTGGGACTAAGTTATGGTACATGTCAACGAATTTTGTCAGAGGAACTGAACATGAGGAGGATTGCGGTAAAGTTTGTGCCACAACTGCTGCAAAATGAACAGAAGCAGCATCGCTTGGAAGTCTGCAGGGAACTTCAGCAACAGCTTCAAGAGGATCCAAACTTTCTTTCGAAGGTTGTCACTGGTGACAAAAGTTGGGTTTATGGCTACGGCCCTGAAAGCAAGCAGCAATCATCGCAATGGAAGAGCCCTTCTTCACCTCGGTCAAAAAAAGCTCGACAAGTCAGGAGCAACATTAAGTCCATGTTGAGCTGTTTTTTTTTTTTTTATACTGACGGGATTGTTCATAAGGGGAGAACATGAGGAGAAAATGTTCAGAGAAGTGGCGCACGAACGACTGGGTACTCCACCATGACAACACGCGACCGCATATGGCTTACACTGTGCAGGAATTTTTGGCTAAAAACAAGATGGCAGTTGTTCCCCACCCACCGTACTCGCCAGACTTAGCTCCATGCGACTTCTTTCTCTTCCCCAAGATGAAAATCAAGTTGAAGGAGCGAAGATTTGATACAGTTGAGGAAATTCAAGCAGAAATGCAGACGGTACTAAACACCCTAACAAAGAAAGACTTCCAGGATGCATTTGAAAAGTGGCAGAAACGCTGGGATCAGTGTACACGCTCCCAAGGGGACTAATTTGAAGGTGATGGTGCAGAGTAAGATCTAGGTAAGATGTAATAGTTTTTATTAATATATTTCAGGAACTTTTGGATTGAACCACGTAAGTATACTGTGTCATGTCTGCTGAAAGCCCGAACTGTATAACCAGCACAGGCAACCATTACTAGGGAATGGCTCTGCAAATATACACATGACAACAACAATACATATAACAACATATACACATGATAATGAATTACTGGAGGACTTCTCTGTGGAAATTGCAACCCGAGATGGAAAATTTTTATTTTGAAAGTTACATTTCAAAACATTCAGAATAATGTGTAGCTGTATATTAATATGACAGAAGATTACAAAATATGCATAAGAAAAAATGGGGTTCAGATGACAGTGTCGAAATGGCAGCTATTAACAAAATTCGTAACATGTCTGTAAGTGTCTACTTTATATCTGAAGGTCAAATCACTCAGCCACAAACTGTTACAGATGGTCAAGCTGTGAATGAAAGAAATGTATCTTACAACTATTATGATGCTCTATTGCTAGCTGAAGAATACAGAGGTTAGGTATTTTTGGTAAAGTGTGGTTTCATAAGCAAACTTTACCAAAGACATTTCCTCTAGATAGCACCACTGTTTATGACGAGCATCATAACTTGTACTCTTCTCCAAGTATAATTAGAATGATCAAGGCAAGGAGGATGAGGTGGGCAGGGCATGTAGCACGAATGGGGGAGATGAGGAATGCATGTAGGATATTGGTGGGAAAGCCAGAAGGAAAGAGACCACTGGGAAGACCAAGGCGTAGGTCGGTGGACAATATTAAAATGGATCTTATAGAGATAGGATGGGATGGTATGGATTGAATTGATCTGGCTCATGATAGGGGCCTGTGGAGGGCTATTGTGAACATGGTAATGAACCTTCAGGTTCCATAAAATTCTGGGAAATTCTTGAGTTTCTGCAGAATTGGTGGCTCCTCCAAAAGATGAGTAAGTAAGTAAGTAAGTAAGTAAGCAAGCACCACTCTTTAGAGAATACTGTTATTCTATCAGGTTTTGTACATCAGTAAAAATACAGCTGTCTTTCCAGAACTTTCCAAGTAGCGCTGGATGTGACACCTATTCACTTACCTTGGCTTTGGGGCTTTTGTACAGAAGCAGCAGCCCAGGTTTCAGAATACACCAAAGCTTTGTCCAGCTCTTGAGGGTTCCTCTGACCTTCAACCAGTCAGCCAATACAATTACAGATGGATCTTTAAGTGAGCTTAGCAGTTCATTTGCAACCCTCTTTTTTTCACGGCAGTAATTCTTTCGTTGTGCTTTGTATGACTCCTTTCTTGTCAGTTTATCTGTGTCCGGTGTGTGGAGCTGAAACATTGGAACAAAATACTCACTGGTAAGGAAGCTTGGCAAATGTCAATATGAGACAGGAACAGAATCTACAGCAACACAATTGGGAATACAACGTATACTATGTCTAAAATATGTCTGATGGTGCATCATAATCAGATTAATTATATGTTAGAATTCTGTTGACACAACATGGCACTGTAACATGTATACACATTGCTAGGCAACAACTCAGTAAACACATTCCTGCGACAATGACTACGCAGGCAACAACTGAGTAACTTCCATTGCTATGCAACAGCACTGTAAACATGCCTTTGCAACAACAGAGGAAGAAGTGTTTTCTGTTGGTCTGCCTCAAGGCTAAATAACGAGATCTCATGCAGCTAGAATGAGAACTGTGTCAAGTTCTGGAGATGGCAGTCGAAGGTGATTGAGAAGAAATGGCAAGAAAGTAATTAGACTTTGCAAAGAAGACTTCAAGTATGGGTTGAAGTTAACAGTGAGACTGTGACAAATCCGTTGCCAGGACATGACAAATGAAAACTCAGAATCCTAGTGCATGTGTACTAGTTAACTATAATGTGTGTAGAATAGCAATAGTGCTGTATTAACTATAGTCCCGAGTTGTGTAAATGTATAAGGTGTTAATACATCCAACGGTCCAATCCAAAACCTTCTTATAAGTCACACACAACCCCTACATGTGACAATATATAATTTATGATATTTATAATTATAACCATTTTAATAATTATATATATTATAAATTATACACACTGTGATGACAGACATCTCACATATAATTGATATAATATACAACATGATGCTCTAAAATAATATTTCAGCCAGCAGACTGTTGTGTCACTAGGAAGTTACTAGATGCTATTTTCAATATATATAGTGAACCAAAATTATCACACCAGAGATTTCATTGAACACAAAAGACTAATCATCAATGCTCACCTTATCTGGCGAAGGATGGTCAGCTTTTGCACTATTATCAAGCCAATTCATAACACCTGAAAAAAGTGTTTTAAATACATAGATATAACAACATTTAGCAATGGCAAAGAATGTTATGATGTTCTGAAGGCTAAATTTGTGCCACAGAATAGGGAACAGCATTTTATCCTTTCAACAGTGGAAGTCATAACAGAAGGAAGTCTTGCTGTTTGCATAAATTTAAAAAATGTTACTTCAAATGATTCTTCACAAGATTTAACTACAGATGACTCATAACACATTTTACCATCAACATTAGTGATACTATGAATAACTGCTGATCAACTGCATTGCACAGCATCCGTCTGGAAAACTTTATAGTTGCTCAGCTAGCTTCAAAAACTCCCTGCTTTATTCCTTGGAACTCAAAGACATGTTACTGTAGTCATAAACACTGGCCATTCAAACTAACAATTAGTCAGTTAAAAAATCAAATCTAATTCTTATTACTATCATTCTCCCATGTCTCCCAAATGGTCTTAGAGCTTTTTGACTAAAAGTCTGGATGCATTTCTTATTTTATATATGTGGGCTATATGACCCACCTATCATAATTTTCTTGATTTAATCACTGTCATGATATTAGATGAAGGGTACAAAGAAATGTATACAAGTTTATAATTTAACTTGTTCAGATGCTCTTAGCTTTCTGATTCCTGAAGCATACTCTATGTTGCAACATGTGACAATATGACAGACAAGCTGTGTGCTGTAACAGCATATGCTAACTTACAGCAAACTAACTAAAGCTCAAGAGTCAAACTAAATTATTTCCTCAAAACACAGGCTACATACTCATAAACATGTCTTGGACATTTCCACAATCTGTTCCCAAATTTCTGTTATGACTCCACACAGCATAACATCAATGTCTCACAACCCTATGGGCCTTTGAGGCCTGGTACAGGGATAGCTTTACTTTACTTTATGTGTAACCCCTGTTTTCTTATGTGAAAGCTTCCACTGGAATGCACAAATAATGTTTTTGTGTTTTAATGACTTTTTCCACATCCTACAGTCATTTAGACTCACTTTTCATCCTTGGAATATAATGTACTGTCACATGTTTGGAATCCAGAAGAGTTACTACCATGGAGACACTAGAACAGACCATTGCATAAGAAGTAACAGTGGTATTGTTATTCTAACAGTGAGATGTTGCATAGAGATGAGTGTCCATGGTTACGATGAATACACAGAGAGTCCCCACAACGACAACACAATAACAGTGGGCCGGTGCCTGGGGCAAACAAACGCGTTTCCTAGGAGATGAAAGGTAACGAATTGTTCGAAGTGTTGCATGACAACAGAAGGTTCATTGCACAGCAACTGCCGATGCTATAAAAGCCCAGCTTCGACAAGAGACGAGTGATCCCGTGTGGAGGCAGGGTTGAATACCTCCACCATGAACCTGCAAGTTGTAGGAGGCGACAAAACGGGAAGTCTCAAATCTGAGACAGTTAAATATGGTTGAGAGTCCCAAGGGACTCGGACCCAAAAAAGACCGCGCTGGCAAGGGCCAGCAGCATATGCAAAAGACAGAGCCGTCCTCTTGTCAGAGAGGGCGCCCCACAAAAATAAGACCGTCACTGTCAAACAGTAATAATTAATATTTGGTCATGAGCCCCAGATGAGGCTTGACACCAAGACTTACTGACTGGCTGACCGTCAGTCGCAATGTAACTTTGACTCTGGCTTTGAGACGAGTGAGTCTTGGGATAGCCATCGCCGAAAGACAGTTGAGATCCAGCCACGGTCAAATACAGTTGGAACCTATTCGCCATACAATACAGACAGAAGACAGCAAGAATACAGTCTTCAGAAGGCCGACACGGAAAGCAGTCTAGTATTGGCTGAGATACAGGAGAAGCAGTAATTGTGATACTGCAAGTGATAATAATTGTAAAGAGTGTGAGTGTATAAGTGAAGCACAATAAAGATTTGCTAAATCTGAGACCCACGTGAAGTTATTTCTCATGTGACATACACAACACATGACAGTATGTATATTCATACATATGTATATATGTATGTGTGTACTGGTTGTGGCTCAGCTCCCGTACATTACACTAGTACATATTAAATAATGTACAAAACATTACCTGGAGAGCTTGGACTATAGTTAAGAGATTCACTGGAAGGAAGTTTTGGTAGCAGAACTTGGAGACTTGTCCGCCTCGATTTCTTGTCATCTGCTTGGACAAATCAAATTAAATACAGTATGTAAACATTAACATACAGGTACAAGTCCACAACTACCACAGCTCTGATACAGGATACCAAACAATTACAATAAAGGGAAGACAGCAATAAAACTTATTAGACAGGATAGGTACCTACATTATAATATTTACAGGCATAACAACTATGTTACATTTATATGATATATGTTATATAATTATTAAATGATCGTAGTGATTAATATGAATCATTCTACAAATATGTTGAGATCTGAGGTTCTTACAGCAGTGACCACAAACATTACTGTCATCTGCGATGTGAAACTGTACAGTCTGCTAGATATGTTTTGAAGGTACGTGCTGTCTCTATCTTCGGTGTAGATGATAGACTGAGCAAAACCATAAAAAGAAACCTGTCCAGAGAGTCAGTCTCGCAACCAAGATTCAAACTGCACAACTCTCAAATACAAGTCAGAATTGTTACCATTAGAGATAACTGCTCAGTACTATGGACATATATAAATTTTACTGTCAGTGAAACAATACTTTATTATTTATTTATTTATTTATACAGCATGCACTACATGCTTCGACCTCAAATGGGTCATCTTCAGGTGCTGCAAGTTTCACACATACTATTACTGAACTGAAAAACTAACATTTCCATTTTTCTAAATGGTACATACAAATTAGTTAACATTCAATTCACAATCTATATAAAACTTTGATTAGACTTTGGTTAAAATTAACAATAAAATACAATAAAATAACAATAAAAATCATAAAAATCGTACATGATACAGTTGTATACATAACAATAGGTTAAACCTAATATAATAAATAGGTGACCCTAAATCCACAATTTGATATTTAAAATGAATTGAAAATGATCTTTCAAGGTGTTATAAGCTGCGAGTAGCTCCATGTTTGATACTGCTCAGTACTGTCTACAGGCAAACTGCTTTCCAGTCCCTATGGTCACAATAAACAGACGAAAGAAACTGTCACTAGCAGAGTTCATCAGTACCACCATCTGTGTGAACACAACAATTTGACAACTGAAGTGAAGTACAGACAAACAGAGGGTTAAGAGCCAATGAATCAGCATACTAAGCACTATAACAGTATCAGAGTTACATTTTAATTTGAATTACTCAGTAACAATGGAATATTTCTATAAGAGGGAAATACAGTACAGTTACTCAATAAGTACCCTACATTTGTGTGTTTCAGGAACACCACAAGATGGTAAGAAATATTGGAAACTGAAGTTCACTATGTGATAATGTACCTGGGTTTCTGTTTGCTGTGATAGGTGAGAGCACAGGCTTGTTCCCTGAATCACTGGGATGGCTGTGAGACAGAGATTCATATGGAGAGTTCCTGGAACCTGACGGAGGCACAGGTATGGCTGGCGAACTCATCCTGTCACTGCAGACAGACAAGATGCACTACTTTAATTTGACAGGCTCGACTTGAACTCCGTAACAAAATAAGTCTATTTTGTATTGTGCTCATCATAAAGCTGATTAAAATTAAGGTAAAATTTTGATTCATAAAACCATAAGGCATAGTTAAAGATGTCACTGTGCTTAAGCAAGCACCACAGCAAGATAATGACTGGAGGATTGGAGGTATAGTTCCAGGATGTAATCTTAACCATGGCACCAGATGGATGTGCGTAGACAGCCTCATGCCCTGACCACTTTATCCTGCCCCCACGGCCAAAAATCTCTGGTACCCATGGGATAGGAGGTTGGGTGGATCCCACAAATCCATTTTGTACATTGTTTAGAAAAGAAAATTCTGTTGCCCTGCTGGAAATCAAACCCTGATTCCTCAGTCATCCAACATGTAGCCTAGTTAATATATTACTGATTTATCAAGTGAGTATTTGGGCAGAACAGGAAAATCACAGTATTGGTACTTCAAAGATATAAAAGGAATGTTATGCAATATAAGGCTAACGCAATTTTTTTTAGTGACTGCATCTCCTTTTTTCAGAGTCAAACTAACTAAATTAAAATATTTGCATGACATTTCCATTTAGGCTAAGAACTGTCTGAGACACTGCAACTTAAGTCGTGACAGGCTGAGTTTAGTCCAAAGAGGAACATACTCGTTTTTATGGGAAGTCTAATCAGTCAGACATGACCACACAATCAAAAGCCCACTGCTTTCCTTTGCAAACAGATTATATCATCCTAATTGAAAAACAATTTTCATTCATTATCTTCCATGCAGGAAGTGTATATAGGTAAATAACTACGAATGCACTACATTTCAGCTTATTAAACTACCGTAAGTTACTTAAAGCAATTAGCCCAAATTATGGCACCCACTGGTCAAATAAAGTTTATAATCATGCGCATACATGACTCACTGAAATCACACATTAGTGAAATTTGTGCAGAAAAACCCAAAAGGAACTTCTAATAATTTTGATTATTAGCTACAGTTCCCACAATATTCTTCCACTGATCCACTATTATATATTATAACCCCTGAGGGACACTTTCACAACTGAAAGGTTTGGTATACAAACTGCTCAAACAGCAAATTTCAGAAAAATGGGGTACAAATATTTTCATGTACAAACACAATCACTGCACTGTCTGATGCAACAAAAAGGCATGTGCTGCCAACAAAAGTGTGTAAGATTTTATTCTGGAAGTTTCATGTTAGAACATTAACTTTCTTAAACGTGTTTTATCTCCCCTATAAAATAATGGCCTCTAATTGTAACAAGCCCTTTTACAATTTCAATTAATATATATGCTACAAAACTTTTCTAGCAAGCAATTGGAGTGCAAACTGAAGCACACATACAATACCAATGAGCAAATTGGGGGGGACAGCAATATGCCCCCTCCTCCTTATTGGACATATACCAAATATTAATAACAGAAATTAAAAGAATTTTATAAAAAAAAAAATCCTCTTGTATCCTGAATGCACTCAATGGGTATCAGGAGTTGTTCCTCCATGGTTAAGCAACTGGTGTGTGAAGCTGACGATTCGCTCCCATTTAATGCCAAGGTTAAGAATGGTGGAGCTCTACCGCCACTCCCCCATATGTCATGGCAGAGTGCTTCATTAATTAGAATATGGATAACTTTACATTTACCTTATCCTGAATACATTAGGACAATCAGCAAAACAGTCTTAAATAGCTAAGTTTGTAAGCAAATGTTATAGCTCCTCCAATGGAAAAATGGCTGTCCCTCGTTGGAAAAAGTCCTGGTAACCTTGACAGTACCTGTCACTGTCCTTCACTGTTGCAATCTTCTGGGCTTGTTCATAACTACTACCACTGATCCATATTCATGCATTACATATACACATAAATCGAGGCACAATAGATCACTGTGGTCACAGTGCAAGGGCCAAGAAGGCCCACCCCTTATACATTCATTCATACACATAAATCAATTATACCAAATTATACTAAATACAGACATATGAACACAGAGCCAACTCCCCATTAGTGGATATGTAAGGGGAATAAGGTGTGCCATATTACTGACTCTGCCTCTTGCATGAGAAGAACACTTACAGAAACCCAAAAAAGGTAATGTTGTCCCTGTAATTAACTAATTAGGCACTATGTCATGAATGCGTATTGGACAGTGGATGTACAGATCCACATTTTCTTGACCTCGGCACTAGCTGGAGGTGAGTGGTCAGCTTCAAGCCCTTGCTGCTTTACCCCGAGGAAAGAGCTCCCAGTACTCACTGAATAAGAGGCTTGGTGTGTTGCCTAATTTTGCTCAGAGGTCTCCTAGAGACATGAGGATCTTTTACGTGCCGTAAATCTACGACACGGGACCCACGGCTTAAAGTCCTTCCTGGAGAGCTTGTTCCCTGAATTTTTCCGCCCTTAAAAATTCCACGACCTCCGCCAGGTTTGAACCAGCATACCTTGAGTCATGAGGTGGGAATGTTACCCCTACACTGCGGAGGCCGCTATGAAGCCATGGTAACTCAGTAAGTATAGTGTTCAGGCTCTGTACTGGACAAGGGTTTAATTGCCTTCTTTTCACCCCCATGACCAGACTGGCTTCAGGGCACACTCACCCTCCTGCCAAATGGGTACCAGAGGCTCCTTCTTTGGAGCAAAGTGGCTGCAGCATGCAGCTGACCACTTATCTCCATTCATTATGATGGTTAAGAATGTGTGGAACCACATCTCCATTCCCCATATGCCGTCACAAAGTTGGGCTTAGTTACACAAAAGAGAAACCTCTATATATATGGCATGTTCAAATGAAACCCATTCAGGGATTGTTCTGGGTGAATGAGAAGCCAATAAAAACCTTCTTCATGGGTGCTGCAGCAGGCAGCCCATGTGACATACTGGTTCATGGATCTCCACCACAAACAATCCCTCTCACACAGGCAACCAGCTATATTTGCTAGCAGCCCCATGAGTGTGTTTAATTTGAACAGACCTCATATTATGGGTACCGCAAACTAGTAATCCTTATGATTAATTTTCTCTAAACTTGTGTATTAGCCAGACTAAAGTAGGGCATATGAACTTTCACATGAACTTCTCTATTAAACTCCATGAAAAATGAATGACGAGAAAATTCACTATGCATGTGTTATGTTAGTCGGATGCCTGCACAAGTTAAAATTTTCCATTCGCCTGTACACAAAATTTAGGCATCTAGATAGAATTTAAATGCTATGTCAAGGCCACTAATATTTTATGAATCTCTAACGTATTACAGTGCAAAACAACACAAAATATTTCATAAAAGAGGTAAAGTTGTCTCTGCGCTTTATCAGTTAATCACTATGCCATGAAGACATATGGAGGAGTGGAGGTAGAGCTCCATCATTCTTGACCTTGGCACCAGATTGAGGTGAGTGGTCAGCTTCACACCCCTGCTGCATTACCCAGGAGGAAAGCCCCAGTACCTATTGGATAGTAGGTAGGGTGAGCCCCAGAGCCAGTCTGGACACTGTGAAGAAGAGAAAAATCTTGCAATGCCGGGAAACTATCCAGCCTGTAGCCCAACACTATACTGACTGGGCTATCCCAATTCACCACAAAACACTTCATATTCAATTAAATGATAAAGATATGGGATTCAAAGTGTCCAACTCCCACAATTTCCAACCATAACAAAACTGATAATTGACAGAGTAAATAATATGCTCTAAAATAAAATGATAACAGAAATTAACTTAAAATAAAATTATGATGGGTTCCAACATGTAACTGTCATTGTCCTCCTTGAAAGTACTTTCTATTACCTCTACATTTCTGATCAAACTCCAATTTCTCTAGTTACCCCTGTACTTAAGAATGCACACTGTCAAAGTTACATGTAACCTTCATCACAATAGATATCACCATCACATCTGTATATTTCCTGCTAAGTTTGTCATGTCTACATTCACCCTAACTCAATAAACATATATGAAACATAAGAACATAACAAGCTGAACAGATTGCATGGCAAACAAGGTCATAAATAATGAAAAGTATGGAACAATAATAAATAAAAGTGTGCACTGTGTAATACAGTGTTTATTACATATATTACTATGAAATTGCTACAGATGACTCAGCAGAAATCTATGCTCATACCGTATCTGTGCAAAAAGGCCATAACTTCTTGTCTCTTAGAATAAAGTAACAACAAAAATTCACACAAATAACAAAGTACTACCTCAAATCAGGCCACAACCACTTCCTTCCACATCCTTTCTAATTCATAATTCACTAATCAGCCAATCATTAAATGCTATATATTGAGATATTAAAAGCACAATTAAATAAATAATTAATAAATAAAAATGACACCTTACATTCTGAAAAATTCAGTTAAGACATGAGCCCAGGAATTTAAGTTTCCTTTAAGTCTCCATTCCAGTTCACCATAGCTGTACATGTGGCACTTTTAGGGCCTTCTGAAGAAACATATAATTAATTTTGAGAGATGAGATTTGCATGTTTATGTGATGCTGGAACAGGCATTTCATTGGCTTCAAAATAAGGATAAAATGAATTCTATATCTCAATTAGGGCACAATTTAACTCACTTTTTTATACAACTAATTCTATGGAGAATTTCCCCAAAATTTTTTGGAACCCACAGGTCCATTACTGTGTTCACAAGAGCGCTCCACTGGTCTCTATCCTGAGCCAGATCCACTTTGTACCACCCCATCCCATCTAAGATCCACTTTAACATTATCCTCCCACCTACATTAGGTTTTCCTGGTGGTCTCTTTCCTTCTGCATTTCCCACCAAAATCCTACATGAATTCCTTTAACCCCCCTGCCTGCTACATGCCCTGTCAATCACACCCTCCTTGACTTGATCATTCTAATTACACTCGGTGAATATTACAAGTTATGAAGCTCCTCATTATAGCCACTCACCACAGAGCAGCAAGATTTGGCATGAATACTTACCTCCAGCAAGACTATAATCTCACCAAAAAAAAAGTGTTCAATTCGGAAGTGAGTCAGGTTGTGACCTATGTTGATCTGACATGGAATGACTCTTAAGAAAGCAAACATTCACTTCCCATTTTAATTTCACAGATCACACTTCTCACCATTAAGATGATGTGCCACTTGAACCCATTACAAAGCAACAATCTCAGTTCTGTTTATGTGAGGAGGGATGTTGCACTTGAGTAGTTAGCACCCCTGCATAGCATTCTAGGGTTCCTGTGTTCAAATTCTGGCCCATAGCCCAGGATATCCTGACTGAGGTTTTCTGTTATCTTCCTCAGTAACTAAACTCTGTAGCCTACAGTCCACAAGCACGCTATACCAACCGGGTGACCACCGCTTGTAATTGAAGTTAGTGCCAATTTTTGCAGATAAAGGATGTCACGTGATCAGCGCAACAGATCCCCATGGCCGTTAACCTCGGTTTTCTAGACCAGAGCCACTATTTCCTTGAAATAACTCCTCAATTATCATCACGAGGCTGAGTGTACCCCATTCTAGACCCACTACTTCTCAGAAAATCTGGTAGCACCGGGAACTGAACCCAGAACTCTGACCACTAGAGCACAGAGGTGGTCCTATCATCCTCAGTACCTCCTGACAAATGCTGGGACATTATCTTACATTGGGTCCTAATCACTTTCTTTCAAACCACTTCCAATTCATTAATCACAGGAGACTGATGTTTTGAGGTTGTGACTTCTAGGCAGAGAAGGATGTTTAACAGGAACATGCTGTCTCCACCATCTGGGTTGAAGTGTGTGGGATCAGAACTTGGTTGGGTTACCCACACCCAAGCAAAGGGAAGACATGGAGCCTGGTCCCACCCAACACAAACAGTTAAGAGGAAAACAAGTCTGTTTCAGGGCCATGATTGACCACATCCCTCGTAAAATGCTTATCTAATACCAATACATGACAGAGAGATTTAGCCACAAACAGCAATCAACATCATGAATAAGGCAATTATTTTCTGAAAGTTGGAATTCCACTCAGTGTTAAACAGTTTATAACCAAGTGGTCCTAAAAGAATCACTACAAGACTCTTTTCTTCATTTCTGTTGGAGATAGACAGAACCCATTCTGAAGAGAGCAGCAAGGAAAAACAACTGAAGCCATACATAAAACAGGCCCTCATTATACTTCAGATTCCAATATTCTGCAGCTCTCATTATATCCCTAAACACAATTACATATGTCTTATGTCACACAAATGTCTATGAAATGTTCTGATTACAGGATAAAATTGTATTACGACATTCTTTGCACTAGTACATTAGCATTGTAGTCACTGCAAAAGAAAGAATCCTAAAATCTCACTTATAACATGGGTACTTAAGCTGTACCCCAACATCCACTTCATATCAAGGGTCTACTGTATACAGCCATGACAGCTACCAGGCTCCAGAATGGATGGCAATGGTTCGATTCCCAGCAGGGGAAAGAGATTTTTCTCCACTCCACAGTGTCCAGACTGGCTCTGGAATCCAGGCAGCCTCCTATCCAATAGGTATCAGCGGCTCTTTCCCTGGAGGGTAAAGTGGTCAGGGCATGACTACTCACATCCATCCAGCACTGAGGTCAGGATTCGTGGAGTCATACCTCCATTTCCCCATATGTCTTCATGGGGTGGTGTTTATATTTATCTAACCATCAAGTGACAAAGTAATTGGAGTTTTTGTTCATATATATGTCTGTATGTGTGTAAAATTCCCATTCTATATAAGTCACAAGAATAATTTCAAAATTTCAAAATTCCTTTTGGTGAAACATTGCTGTTCGATATTTACGGTTAATATCACCAACGTCAACCATTCTTCCATGATGTAAATGAACACCGCACTCTAAGTGCATGACTTCTGATGCAAGTATTTCGCACATTTCTTGCAGCAATTCAATCATATAACTTAAATCATGCATGTTATGTTTTAAGCTCGTATGTTTCAGTGCCTCCTCTAACCGGTTTCTTCTTGTAAATTTGGCAAAGGACTCTTCTATCATTCCACAGGTACGCAAAAATATGCTACATCAAATATCCAAGTTCATTATAACTCTAAACACTGATTATAAAGATGAACCGCAACAGCTACCTATTATTACTTTATTGGTTTTCCGCTTATCATCAAATTAAACTAATTTAACCAATAATATTAACCATTAAACAATACAGCCAACTGCAACACTTAATAAAAACTACGGACTAACACGGCTTAACAGTCGCCGACAGTGACGATAGGTCTCCTTACGACGTGGTGGCCTCGGCCAAATTTATAGCAATGGGTTGTTACCTTCAGTAATACCGTTCACAGTTCAAACATGTCTTAACCTCAACTTCTTTAGAGGCAATGTTACACAGTACTGTCCATTTGTATATATTTACGTATTTACATATAAAAAGCACTTTCCAAACGAAAACGTCATTAACAGATAACGTTTCTATCTTCATGAGCCATGTATACAAATATATCACCAACTATACGCTAGAAGAGGAAAATACTCCAGTTACGGCATTCTACCTATCATTAAACCCACAACTGTAACCGTTATTCATACATTTTCACTTGAAAACAGACCACCGTCACCAAAACACGGCCATATTCTTTTTAATTTCCTTGTTACAAGATCTATGAGACTGCGTACTATTCATACGATACTTGATCGAAGTTGGCCATGGTGAATCCACCAATGTATCAGCTCCATCACATCCTTGAAGCCAAGCATCATCCACTACAGACGAGAGTTTTATATTACACATATTTAATTATATAGCGTCGAATGGTAGTACAATTGGTGTATAATTAATTTGAATTTGGAATAAATAATTTGAGGTACTGTCCTGGAATTTGCCTGGAAGAACTGAGGAAACCAAGAAGCCCTTAAGCTAGTCTCTGGGTCATGGTTTGAACATGGGGCATCACGATTATTTTATACCACCCCAAATGAATCTAATAATAATAAAATAAATAGAAAATAACGAAAACATAAATTTACTCCTGCGGTTGGATAAAAAATTGCCCAGAAATTTGTCTTTTATAATTGCCTTGCTACAAATATAATATGAGCAACAAATTGGTTATTTGATAATGGCAATCTAGGGGCATGAACTTTTCAGCAGTGATGTTTATATTACCACTTCCCTAACATTTTGTTTTAATACAATTTCCATCATGAAATGAGACTGCCCTGTCTTCAAATTCATATGGGTTTCATGTTTCATTCATACCTGCTACACAGCACAATTGAAACATTATTATTATTATCCTGACATTAAAAGCAATAAAGTTTGCAAGACATTGTAACTTCTTTCCAACCTAATACTGTGGAAGGAATAGATTCTCCTACCCACAACTAATTTGTGCTGAATGATCCTCAAACTATTCTAAAAAATAAATATATTTAAAAAGAAACTGGAATAGTATGATTTGCCAGATGAATGAATCATGAGAGAGCTGGTATGATCAAAATTCTGATTCTCACCCCTACCTGGGTTCAAGATTAAACTCTACACCTCTGGGATGTAGTCTTATGAAGACAGAGGTAGCAGATTCCTCCAAAACCAATCTACCAAAGTACGGTCTCCCTTGATACTGAGCACCATGAGGATACCATGTCTCACATAATAATCCCGTTGTATCTTAGTAGTAAACTGAATGTTTACTGAGAAAATGCTCAAACCTAGGGAGATCTGGGGTTTGCATGATAGTAACTCCATTCAACTCCGAACAGCACTGTTTGCTGGGATGTGATGCTCTGTAGTCTAGTAGAAATCTGCCATATCTTGGTAGTTCTACTTGCTGCTAGATTCTCGCTTGCTTGGCATAGTCTTCCACCCTCAAGATGGAGGCTGTGCACTTCTCCAAAATGTCAGCAAACTTCTATCAGATACCATGAAATCACATCCCAGAAGATAGCAAAGAAAATTCCAAACCTATGGGTATAGTACACTGATGGAAACAAACAGATGCTGGTATGTCCCAGCAGATGAAATCAACAATTTCTAGGGTTTCATGAATGAGTAAACTGATAATGCATTGAATCATTTATTGTACTTTCATTATTATCACAGTACAGTGTAGACGTGAAGGCATATGAAGGCCACTCATACTAAACCTAGTGCAAGTTAGCACTATTTTTGTACTGTACATACTGAAATGCAGTATTTTGTTCACAATTTCAATACTACAGTGCCCCCAAAACATTCTTATGTGTATTTAATAACTTTTTGCCACATGATTTGAGCTGTTATAGAAATAAAACTTTTTACACCACACATTTTGGTTTACCTTTCAGTGCATCCTTCTCATGACACTTCATTTATGAAAAAAAAAAGAACAAATTACAACTGGTTCCTATGTATCACTGCATCGATACATGAGTATGTCCTTGGGTAATTTTTATGGCATTATACATATCTGTGTGCAATCATCACAAAATCTGGAACACGAGAGAAAGGCGAAAGGGTATGACAAACACAAATTATGCTGGCAAACAAATTAGCTATATGTACAAACATGCAGTTTCAGAGTATTCTGAAGACATGAAAATTAAAGTAAAAAGACTCCCTTCTGTCAGTCAGCATTCATGTTTCAAGGGCACATGTCCAGATTAAGTACTACTTACCATAGTACACTACAAATTACCCTAAAACTACATAACTGGATATGAATACATTATCTTTTAACTCTGATATCCCTTCTAAGATTCAATTCTGCTATGTTACAGCATTTTCTGCTTACAAACTGAAGTCATAAGTTACAATCACAGTACTTAATGGTATGAGAACCACAGATTATTACAATGGCAATGACACACAAAAAATGCACAAAAGTATTTGAATGATATAAGTGGTAAACAAAATATAAAAAATTATGGCTGTCTTCTGAAATATAACACTATGTAGTCTGGTAGAAAGGTACTGATTTAGGGAAATCTTCTGCTCCATCTTCATGGATTATTCTACCTTGAAGATAGAGGTAGCAAATTGCTGTGAAATGTTGGTAAATATCTACCAGACCACTCATCAGCACATACCAGCATCACTGCTAGTGATGGTTGGGAGAACTACCACATGGTAGATGAACATATGTGCATCACCACTTTGTTTTACAAAGATGGTATATTTTCTTCAAAATTTTTGTCAGCTGCATGAGAATTCTGGATGCTTGGATACCAGACAACCGGGAATTTATTGTACAATGTATAACAAAGTAAATACATACACATTTGTAATGTGATTGTTTTCTATTGGAATGGACAGGGCAATAAGGTCTCCTTAATGCCCACACAACATAAAAATGTTGACTTCAAAAGACATAAAAATCGCTTAGCACATAAACGACAACACATTACAAATATACAATGAAGTCTTCATGGCCAGTGTGAAACTGTGAATAGGGAATGAAATTCCAGCGCTTCAAAGACTGTCTCTGCCTCCACCATCAGTCACATCAATCCCTGATGATGGAAGCAGAGACAGTCTGAAACACTAAAAAGTCATTCCCTATTGACATGCTAGGTAGCCCAACATTTCACTGAAGTCATCACAGAGGCTTTAAATCTTACATTACAAACAGATCACATAAATATCTTATACCATCAGTTACATAAATATTTATAAAAGATTCCTCAATAAGGGATATATCAAACAAAACACATTCCAGATGAATACTAGACATGATACTAATATAGGGTGGGGCACAGAAACTTCCTTTTTGTGAAGACGTATTGTGAAGGGAGGGGACGTCGCAGAAAAGTGGGGATAGGCTCGGTGAACGCAGCAGTCGCAGAAGTTTCTGTCTAATACCCCTCAGTAGGAAACATGAGGTGGACGAGTGAGGACTGTGCGTTCCGTACTCGCTTCAGAATTAAGCCCAGAGTTCTGGTTCCCAACCAGAAATCGATTGCTTCGTGGGTAGAGAACTTTAGGACAACCGGGAGTGTGGTGAAAAAATCATCAGGACAATGGACCGTTACGATGCCAGAAAATGTGGAGGCAGTTCGACAGTCGATTTTGAGATCTTTTTCGAACCAGCTCTTGAAGAAATGCATCTAGGAAATGCCTGGTTCCAACAGGATGGTGCCATGGGCCACACAGCCCGAGCTTCAATGACAGTTTTGAGGGCAAAGTTCCGTGGACGGCTCATCTCGCTTCGAGGTGACATCCGTGGGTAGCGCACTCACCTGATCTAA